GGAGGGAGGGCACACCTCATTAACAAGGGTGCCCGCATAATGAACATTTGTACACCTAACCCTGAATTGTACCCCAAATCTTCAAAATAATTTTTTTTTTAAAAAAGAACATAGAATATTACAATAAATGAAGAGACATAATTGGAAAGAAAAAAAAAAGGGCAATACAATGTCAGGGGCAAATAAAACTTGGCTGGGGATCTAGCATGTCCATTTGTGACCTGTGATCTGGCACTCATTTCATCTGCATTATGTGCTGTGAACACAGTCTTGTTGTTTTTGTTTTGTTTTATTTTAAAGAGATCAGGTCTCACTGTGTTGTCCACATTGACCTTGAACTTGCAGCCTCAAGTTATTCTCTCACTTGGCCTCCCAGGTGTGAGCCACTTCATTGGGCTCAGAACCTCATTTTTAAAAATTTTTTAAAATTTTTTTAGCACAGTTACTATGTGAAATCTCATTAGGAGTTTCCCAAAAAATCAATCGCCAAAGGAACTTCTGGAACACGCCCTAATGGTGGTCATCACAGACATCTGTACAGTAATGGACACACAGTGCTTTCTTCATCTCCTTGAAGCTCTGTGATGATCCAATGAGATTTGGAAATTAAGGTTCCCAGAGGGGCCAGGACTTGCCCATTAGCCGTAAACAGTGTCAGGCAGAGCCACATCCTCTATCGGGTCTCTGACTCCAAATCTCATGCTTGCTATGACACTTGGCAGCTGAAAGCGTTCACTTTAAAGAAGATTTCATAATTCTCACACCTGACTTCCGAGGGACACTTACATAATGAAGCACACGGAATGTTAGGAGGTGAGTTTTATAAGGGTTCCTAAGTCTTTCCAGTCAAGAATTACTAATCCAACTGCATAAAAAAGCAAAATATATCGTCTACAGCCATACATTTCTACAACTGATCCAGGAAATAGTTGAATTATCTAAATAGCTATAATTTAGTACTATTTTGATTTTAAAATCCCAACTTAACATTTCAGTGCCTATCTTCAGACTTTCCCAGTGTTCTGGGAAACAAGTAAGTTAAAAATAGAGCGAACACCCTTCTCTTTCCTTCTACTCTGCAAAATTAAACTTACCTCAAGTAAGGATTCCTTGTTCTTAGCATTCATTTTCTCATTGGTGTCCTTGCCTTCCTTTTTTCCTTTGTTATCCAAGTAGAAGTTCTAAATAAAATATTAAAAGATCAGATCACTGTGTGCTCGTTATCATGCTAGACACTGCAAAGAACTTATGGTCTTGCGGGAGAGAGAAGATGTATGTGTGTGAAATAGACTGGGAGTCACTGATAAGTCAATGCTCAGGGCCTTCCTGCGTGCTGACTGCCACACCACTGAGACAGGAGTAAAACCTCCCCTCCCTCTCATAGTACACGATCAACGAGGATACATAAGATAGAAAATACTGGCAAAAAATATGATTTCACTTAATTGCTAAATTTCATGGTCTGAATCACATGAGTCAAATGCTGAAAGCTGGGAGCCTCTAATGCACTGGGAGGAGCCTGGGGCTGAAGTGAAGTTCAAGCCCATGTCTGGAATCTAGGAGGGAAACCACTCCAGTTGGGAGATGCTGCTGGCAGCCCAGGGCCTTGTAGACTAGTGATTCTGGCTTCTCAAGAAAGTCCTGAAATCTGGATTTTTGTGAATGCTGGTGATTTTTTAAAAACTGTGTGGATCAAAAAAGATACTTGCACATGCATGTTTGTCACAGCACTGTTTACAATTGCAAAAACGTGGAACCAACTGTGCCGCCCATCGAAACTAGACTGGATAAAAAGAATGCATACATACACAGAGAAATATTATGCAGCCATGAAGAGGGACAAAATTATGGACTTCTTTGCAGAAACTTGGATAGATTTAGAGTCTATCATACTCAGTGATCTATCACAGAAACAAAGAATTGAGTACCACATGTTCTCACTCATTAGTGGATACTGAACACTTACCATAATACTTTAAGAAAGGGATTGGCAGTAGCCAGAAACTGCCAGCAGAGGGAGGGAAGGGGCACATAACATGAATCAGGATACCTGATCTCAAACCAGGTGAAGTGGGAACCAAAGGGAGGCCCACATTTACGTGTATGATGACCACTTGTATACTCAATCCTGAGTTGTACCCCATATCTCTAAAAGAAAAAATTTTTTTAAAAACATTGTGTGGTTCAGCCACAACACAAGGTTTGCTATTTGGGAACTTTTAAGTTGGACAGAAGCAGAAAGGGAATTTCTAGAAAGAAAACCAGACATAACAATGACAGGGAAGGCAGCGACTTCAAAGCACTCACAAATACACAATGGTCTCTGAGCGTGGTTTGTACACTCTCTGAATCATACCTCATTCACATTAAATATCAGTGAGGTGGCTAACAATAAGCAGTGTGTGAATTTCCAAAAAACCATGAGCACTTAAGGCTGAATTTTTACATAATCAGTACAGCTGAGGTCTCTGTGTAGAGGGAATATTGTGCATTACCACTGTCATAGTGTGTTGAGGATTTTAATGTAAAAATGCAGAGTTTTATAAAGTAGTACATAAAATGGATTACAAGTAAAAAGTATATCTCAGGAACACAGTGACTAAGGACCCTCTTGAATCTAGACACAAATGTTTATTTATACCATAGGAATATTCTCCAACTGTAATTCCCAGATTACCTTGATACTCAATAAAGTGCAGGTTCCCGGTCTCCTAATCTACTGAACTGGAATCTCTGGGGCGAGGCCTAGAAATCTGAATTCCAGTACATTTCCTGGGTAATTTTTATGCATGTTGGAGTTTGAGAACTAAGTATACTGGATGGTAAGTTAGAAAGTAAACTGCAGGAAAACCAATGTACAGACTTAGGATATTTCTTCAAAATAGAATGCATAAAAAAACAGTGACTTGCTAACTAACTTGCCTAGGGAAAATAAGTGCTATTCCTTTGATAATTTTTACTGAAAATGTTTTTTAAAAATATGGTTTATCAAGACCTTTTTATTTTTACTTGTTATTTGTGAATCTGTCTAACTATAATATAGGCTTTAGAAAACGATTTTCATTTTACATGTTTGACTTGCAGACAATGGTTAACCATAACAGATTACATATTCCACCTGCCAGGATGCTACGTTAAGCCTTATAGATATACTTTCTATTCCATCCTCATAAGAACCCCATAATGTAGGTGCTATTGCTATTGCTATTTTACAGATAAGGAGGCAGGATTAAGCAATTTGCCCAAAGCTGATTAGTGGTAGAGCGTTGAATTTTTAAATAATTTTTATGAGCATTAAAAATGCTCTAAATACAGAGCCAGATGCAGGAGCTCACCCTGCAGTCCCAGCTACTCAGGAAGCTGAGGCTAGAGGATCACTTGAGTCCCAGAGTTTGAGTCCAGCCTGGACAACATAGCAAGATCTCATCTTTAAAAAAATGGGATACCATAGAAAAGAACCTAGCACAACAATGTGAATGTACTAAATACCACTGAAGGGTACACTTAAAAGTAATAAAATGATAAATTCTATATTATAAATATTTTTTCACAATAAAAAATTGCGACCCAGCAAAAGATGACCCATTTATAAGCATGAATACAGAGTGTTGCTGGAAAGTAAATCTTGAATTAGAGGGCTAGATATTATAGCATGTGTCTTTCATCATTATCTGGGAAAAGGAGAGTGTGTGTTACCCTCTGAAGGGACAGTTAAGGGACTGTCTAAACTACGAAGGGCCACATTTTATGAGGGTGCCCTCAAGAGTCTGGATTTGTAACTGTGCCTTTCTAAGAACTTTCTCTGACACACTTACTTTTTCAGCTTCTGAATAACGTTTTACCTTCTAGGTGACTGTGCTACACTGTGTTTTTGTTTCAACCAGAAAGCAAAAACACAAAGTAAATCTGTGCTGGAGGAGGGCAATTAGTTTTTTTTAGTTAGGGTGTCACTTTGTTGCCCAGGCTGGAGTGCAGTGGCATGAGCATGGCTCACCACAGCCTCGATCTCCTGGACTCAGGTGAACCTTCCAGCTCAGCCTCCTGAGTAGCTGGGACTGAAGGTGTTCACCACCATGCTCGGCTAATTTTCTTTTCTTTTCTTTTTTGGTAGAGATGAGGTCTCGTTATCTTGCCCAGGACAGTCTTGGACTCCTGGGCCCAAACAATCCTCTCACCTTGGCTTCCCATAGTGCTGGGATTACAGGCATGAGGCACTGCAACTGGCTGAGGAGGGTAATTCCTAGAATAAGGCTGACTGCCCGGAGTCAGAGCTTTCACCTGTGGTGTGGTCAGCTGCTCAGTGTGGACCGCTCTGCAGCAATCACCGAGCAGAACTCAACATTTAATCATTATCTGTTGCAAATGGAAACTGGACAGAACCAAGTTCAATAATAAGGGAATTTTAAAATGGGAAGGGAGACTTCTGGTCACAGCTTGTTCCCTTTCTTACAGCTTCTGAGAGTGCAAAATCTGAGGGCAGCTGGGTAGGAAAGAAACAGAGCAGGCCAGGTACAGTGGCTCACACCTGTAATCCCAGCACTTTGGAAAGTCAAAGTGGTCAAAGTGGGAGGATTGCTTGAGACCAGGAGTTCGAGACCAGCCTGGGAAAAACAGCGAGACCTTGTCTCTATAACAAATAAAGAAATTAGCTGGGCGAGGTGGCATGCACCTGTAGTCTCCACTGCTTGGGATGCTGAGGCAGAAGGATCACCTGAACCCAGGAGGTCGATGCTGTGTTGAGCCATGATCATGCCATTGCACTCCAGCCTGGGTGACAGAGACTCCAACTCAAAAAAGAAAGGAAAAAAAAAAAAAAAGAAAGAAAGAAAGAAAGAAAGGAAGAAAGAAAGAAAGAAAGAAAACAAACAGAGCAAATGCATTACTTTTAAAATATCATTTTCTTGGAATAAAGAGTAAACCAAGTGGGACCTCATCAAACTGAGCTTCTGTAAAGCAAAAGAACCCATCAAGAGAGCAGAGAGCCCATAGAATGGGAAAAAAATATTTGTCAACTGTTTATCTGACAAAGGCTTAACATACGAGGATCTACAAGGAACTCAAATGTGCCAAAAAGAAAAAAACAAACAGCCTCATTACAAAGTGGGCAAAAGACATGAATAGATACTTCTCAAAGGAGATATATGGGCAGCCTACAGACACATGAAAAAATGCTCAGTCTCACTCATCATCAGAAAAATGCAAATCAAAACCACATTGAGATACCACCTAACCCCAGTAAGAATGGCCATCATTAATAATACAAACAAACAACAGATGCTGGCAAGGATGCGGAGAAAAAGGAACGCTTCTACACTGTTGGTGGGAATGCAAACTAGTGCAACCTCTTTGAAAGACAGTGTGGTGATTTCTGAAAGAACTAGAAATTGACCTTCCATATGACCCAGCAATCCCCCTATTGGGAATATACTCAGAGGAACTCAAATCATTCCGCAAAAAAGATACCTGCACACGCATGTTTGTTGCAGCTCTATTCACAATAGCAAAAACATAACCAACCATGCTGCCCATCGAAACTGGACTGGATTAAAAAAATGTGGAACATATACACAATGGAATATTATGCAGCCATAAGAAGGACAAACATATGGACTTTGCAGCAACTTGGATGGATTTAAGTCACTCATACTCAGCGATCTATCACAGAAACAAAGAACAGAGTACCGTATGTTCTCACTCATAAGCGAATCTTGAACAACTATCATAATACTATAAGAAAGGAATTGCTCAGCCTGTAATCCCAGCACTTTGGGAAGCCTGAGCCTGCGGGTTCGAGACCCACCCGGGCAACTTGGCCAGACTTCATCTCTACAATAAAACAAAAATTAGCTGGGTATGATAGTGTACGCCTGTAGTTCCGGCTACTTGGAAGGCTGAGGTGGAAGGATTGCCGGAGCCCAGCAGGTTGAGGCTGTGGTGGCTGGGAGCATGTCACTGCACTTCAGTCTGGGTGACAGAGTGAGACTCCAACTCAAAAAAGAAAAGAAAAGAAAAGAAAAGAAAGGGATTGAGTACTGGGAAACTGCCAGGGGAGGGGGATGGGATTGGCATTTGCGAGAAACTGCCAGGGGAGGGAGGGGCACAAGGGTACCGGCATAATGAACATTCGTATACCTAACCCTGAATTGTATACCACATCTTTTTTTTTTTTTTTTAAAGAGTA